CCTCCCAGCTGCGTGTGTGGCGCGCAAGAAAGGGAAGGGTTTCCAGTGAATAATCATGACAACTTTGATGCGTTGCAGATTTTCGCACATGGGTCAGGAGCCGATCCTGCTGGGCCTGTTCTGTCACTGTCCTGGGGGCGAGACTCCGTGTGGCGCCTCCCGGCTCCTGACTGGCTGAGCACGGCTTTCTCGCTCCGCCGCGCTCACGCCTCATGGCCACTCAGCGCTCCTCGCTGTCTGGTGCGTCTTCTCAGCTTGCTCACCGTGCTCTTCCAGCTGCTCCCCAAGCTGGTGGATTGAGGATCTACCATAGTAATTTCACTTTATGCTCCCTTTGGGCAGTATAAAATAAACATTAGCACAGCTAGCAAGACGTGTACAAGAGGTTACTCTGTGATCCTTAGAAAACGGTGCAGTTGAGCCATCCGCTACTGTGCAGATTCAAAGCTGTTGGGATCTGGGGTTCTGTATGATACCTGCGGGCTGCTCCTTGCAGTGATAGTGCTGAAGTATATCGGTCTGTTGTACGCTACTATAACACAGTACCAGAAGCTAGGTAACTTTATAAGGAAACAAAGTTCATTTTTCTCTAACCACAGAGGCTAAATGTCCAATACTGAGTGGTCCCTTGGGTTCTGGCTCTAGTGAGACTTGAAGCTGGAGCAAGATGATAAAGATCACACCAGGGAGAGGAAGCCAGAGTGAGGCAGAGAGGCCAAGCTTGCTTCTGTCACAGTCCTTTTCTGCTCAAGGCAGTGAGCCCTCCTCGCCCCCGAGGGCAGAGCCCTCAGTGACCTCCCCTCGGCTCCACCTCCTAAAGGGCCACCTGCTCTGCAACCTTGGGAACAAACCACATCCAAAGTGTGCAGGTGGGGTGAGGCATCGGGTCTCCTCCAGTTTCTGTCGGTCCCCAGTGCGCACACAGCGCGCTAGAATGACTCAGTATGTTCCTTAGGCAAGTTCAGGTTCAGGACAGGTCCCTACCTGGGCACAGCGCCTACAGTCCCAGAACGTGGCAGCCAAGGCAGGAGCATCACCTCCAGTTGGAGGCCAGCCTCAGCTACAGAATGAGTTCAAGATCAGACTATTTTAAAAAAGAAAAAGGTGGGGAGAGAAAAGACGAATCCTGGACCTTGCACCTGGAACCTGTCAGCCCCCTGGCGGCTGGGCGGCTCTCAGGCCGGTGGAGCTCTGCCTGTTTTGGTAATCACCCCCGGGGTTCTCTGCAGCAGCACCTCCTGCCGCTGCCTGCTGGCTCCTGGCTGTTCCCGGCCCAGGAGTGCAGCTGCCCGACACACGATGGGTGACAGTGCCCAGCAGCGGAGGGGCCAGGAGGCAAGGCTGCCTCTTGAGACCCAGGTGGGCTGAACAAGCAGCTGGCCAACAGGAACAGCACAGTGGCAGTGCCCTGCGTTAACCAGCGTCGCACTAACAGCAGTGGGCCTGTGGGGTGGAGAGCCGTGGCATCGCATCACGTGGGACAAACGAAGAACTGAGTCCACAGACCGCAGGGCTCCTGTGGCTGTGGATGAGCAGCAGATGGGCAGCGGCAGCGGCAGGCAGGGGCGAGGGCAGAGGGCCAGCCCGGGGCATGTGCGACATGGCCAGGTGCACCGCTGGGAGTGTGCGGTAAACGTGCAGCTGGCAGGCCTGACTCATGTGCCGGGGCGGCAGGGCAGTGAGGGCGAGGCTCAACGCCAGCGCTGCCCACAGACTTCAGAAGGGAAGCCTAAAACAGCTGTGGTATGCAGCGGACAGCCTGGCGTGGCCAAGGAAATCCCATTTGTGGCCACTTCTGAGACACTTCCAATGGGATCAGTGGGAGCTGCTGTCCCAGGCCCTCTCCTGGTTCGCGGAGATGCAGCACCTTCAGGTGCCAAGGCCCTGGGAAGTGGATCCAGACCTCACCCTTGCTGGGCCTGCACACTTGCCTACTGGCTTCATGAACCTTCCCTCCTGCCTATTCTTGCCTAAGTCAGCATCTCTTGAGTGTCAAGTCCCAGGAGTTGGGGATCAGGTCTGCAACAGGTGAAGAGGGGTGAGCAACTGTGAGGGGGTGCTCCCAACTATCCCCAGTACCAGAGGCACTTGTGGGGAGAGAAAGGAGGGCCCATCAGGGAGTGTGGAGGGGTAATGACAGCATTTGAGAAGCAGGACAGACAGCCTTCACGGCCCCTCTGCTCCCTATGAATTGAGTGACTTGCAGCTCCTCAGCAAATCGTCTGTGGCTGCAGGTAAGAGGGTGTCAAACAGAGCTGCCCAAGTCACCCCGCAGAAGTCCCTCATTTGGGTAAAGAACCTGTCAAACTTGGCCCATCGCGCTGTGCTCAGCTGTGTGGCCTGTTTCCTAGCTAGAGACAGCCAGCATGACCTGTTCTCAGCATCATCTGGCATTACCTGCCTGCCCAGTCACCTTCCCTCTGGCCTCAGATGGCTGTAGGCCCCACCTCCTCTCCACCTCCCATCCTTCAGGGATCTGGACTCACCAGATCCACAGGTCCCAGAGTCTTTAAAGGATCAGCACTGGGAATACGGCTCATTGAGAGCTGTGACACCCACCTTGACTCTAGTGGAAGGCCAACAGCAAGTCCCCTTTTGGCCACCAGCTGGCACCATGAGGGCCTGGGCCTCCCTGACAGTGGTTATGCTCTGTGGCCTGACCTGGGCTGGTAAGCATCTGGTGGGTGGGGAGTGGGTGGGAAGTGGGTGGGGAGGAGTCTTGCCCAAAGAGCAGAGGGCTGAGGAAGCTGACAGAGGGTGAGAGCAGTGGGGCAAGGACCGGGGCGCTTGGTCTGAGAGCCACGGAGCGCTGCCTCCTGTCCTCTTGGGGTGCAGGGGCTGACCTCGGGCAGGCTGCCCTGTGAAGGAGGAGGCGTGGGGCCTTGCTTCAGGGCAGCTCCTTTTCCGCCCCTCCCAACATCACTAACCAGCCGGGCTTCTTCTCAGGCCCTTCATGATGGGCCTGTGGGGGCTGGGGCCGGCGGCTGCCTTTGGTTATCTGCTCCTCCGCTGCCTGGCCCAGGCCAGGTGGTCCAGGGTGCGACTTCTCTGGGGGAAGCCTGAGCAGCAGGCAGGCTCAGGAGGAGACGAGGAGGGCAGGAAGTAGGCCGCAGGAATGGGACCTTGTAGGCTGTGCCCGGCCGAGGAATGGGACCTGGCTTAGCATCAGAGGCAGGGCAGGTGTGGTGCCGAGGGAGGAAAGGAGCACTTTGCTGTGTAGTAATGTGCAGGGTGCTGATGCGGCTGTGCCAATTGGTGCTTAGAGGGCAGGGAGGGGACTAAGCGAGGGCTGTGGGCAGTGCCTCCTCTGCCCAAGGGACAGGGTCACCTTGAGGTCATCACACCCACCTGGGTTGTCCCTGCCTGGGACCATGATAAAGACAAGTGAGATAGTAAGGAAGAACCCTGGGGCAGATGCGAGGTGGCAGTGGCTCGGGAACTTCACCGAGGCTACTTATTATAAACATTCCCAGCGAGAAGGCACCCTTGGACTCATGACCCATCGGGCTGTGGATAAAGAGCTCCTTAGCCACACGCCTGAGTAGAAAACTGGAAAGAAAAAGTTGTTCACACACCCCTAGCACTGGGTGTACGTTTGCCTGGGCTCTGATGTGGGAGCTCGAGTGGCAGAGGGAGGGTGTCATGCCTCCCGACAGGCTGGGCTGTGGGAGCTGGTGAGGCTGGGGAGGGGTGGCCCGTGGCTGTGGGAGAGCTCCAGTGCCTGGGGACCTCCCTCAGGGAAAGCAGTGGTTCAGAGCGCAGGGTCAGACCACGGCCCCACCTGGCAGGGACAGGAAGGGAGGCAGGGAGGTGAGGCTCCATCCCAGCACCAGGGGATTCCAGGCTGAGTCACATGGGACTGGCATGACCAGCCTCAGGCCTTTCATGAGCCGGGTACTGTGGAGAACAGAGGCAGGAAGCTGCTCCCCCAAATGAAACTTCTGGTTGACCAGGTCTCCATAGGAACAGCATGTGGGGCCCCCTGATGTGCACATGTAGAACCCTGAAGCCATCAGAGGCACAGCAGACTGGCAGATTGGACCCCAAGTCCTCCCAGGCTTGCAACCAAGCTCTCTTCGGTGCAGACAGGCAGCAGAATTGCTGGCATAGGAGAGTCTTGGTGGGTGCAGGGACATTTAGCATTTCTCGGGGGAGGAGAGCTTTTCACTGGAAATGGGAGAACCGGAGACCCAGAGAAGAAGTGAAGGTGAAGCTCCGCAGAAGGAGGAGGGGAGAAGAAGGGGCAGCGGGGCAGCAGGTGGAAGGTGCTGGGGCTGGGATGAGGGCACTTGGCCAGGGCTGAGGCTCACAGGGAGCCTCTGTCTTCTGGGGATGCGGAGGGCCCCCTGAGTGGCCCCAGAACGGCTCTATGGGTGCCAAGGAGGAAGCGTCCTGCCCTTCGCCTCTTGTCCCAAGGTCACCTTGAAGCAGACCAAATTCACAGAGAGATGGCGGGCCTGGTAGCATGGGTTCTAGCTGGAGACAAAGCTCCTGAACAGACAGCAGGTCCACGCGGCCAGGGCCGGGGTCGGTGTCCTCCCGCTGGACAGCCGCTGGGCAGAGACTGGGGTGGGAGTGCAGCGAGGCCCTCCACAGGACCCTGCCGGTCTGGCCCACTGGACGTGCTGCCCTGCCCGGGCGCATTCTGCCTCGGACTCGGGGTGTTCTGCCAGGCTGGCCTGCACACAGGTGCCGAGAGAGCCCACTTAAGATCCCAGGCAAGCGCCCATGGGCTACAGGGACAGGAGCCTCGGGCTTGGTCTCTTTTAGGAGCAACGCCCTGGCCAGCATCCTGTTTTTCTGGGTGTCTTGAGGGTTTTCTGGGGCCCACCCACATGGAGTTGCCTCAGAGCTGACCTGAAATCTTTTTGATGTAAAGCACAGAGACTCCTGGTGTGACGCCAGCCGGGTGCCGTCAGCCGCTTACCTGCGCTGACTCTGGCTCTTGGGATGGCTGGGACGCAGGCCTGGGGACCCCGTGCGTGGGGTGCGTCCCTGTGGGCATGGAAGGCCGCTGCTGTTTGTTTACCTAACAGATAGTACACGACTTTCCTGTGTGTCATGCACCGTGCCGGCTGCTGTGCAAATATTTGCTCATCCAATTCTTCTAAATACTCTCTGAGTAGGCCTGATAGCTTCCCACTTGTACAGATGAGGTCACCAAGGTGCAGTACCTGCCCCAAAGCACACAGTTCAAGTGCAGAACCACAAGTTCAGTCCCAGGCAGTCGGGGGTCTGCGTCCAGGTTCTCAGCCGCTGCTCTGGCTTCCCTCCTCGGACATCTGGAAATGTGAGGGCCCCTCAGGAAGCTTGCTTCTGCAAAGCACGTGGCTGGCATGAGGGATGTGGCACATGGTCACAGAAAGGAGCACTGTCCCGAAGCCAGGGTCTTGCCCACGCCCACCTCATTCCCTGCCCCGAGCACAAACTCCTCTGAAGACGGAAGGAGCAGGGAGATGTGACATGGGACACCGGGTGCGCAGAAGACGGGGGACGGGGAGAACAAAGGCAGGTGAGCAGGAAAGGGACAGGCTGTGATCAGGACACCCAGGCGCCACCACCGTAGGCAGCGGCTACTTCCTTATGTGACAGGTGGACAGTGGCCTCAGGCCACGTGACATCCACAGACCTCTTTTGTTGGCCTGCACATAGTTTTAGAAATGGGAACTTTCATCTAAAAATGAAGCTTTCTCTTGAAAGAATGGACGTCTGGCCAGGCCAAGCAACTCTGGGCTGGAGCTGAGAAGGGGCCACGGAGTCCAGGCTGCGTGGCTCTCAAGTCTGTCGCTGTCCTACTTCGTCCTATGGCCTCTTACCCTGCTTCTTTGCTCATTTGTGTCACTGGCTTTACCCCAAAGGCATCTGAGCCCTGGTGGGTGTGAGGAGCTCCGGGGTATCTGCAGGGCAGTGGGTGACTTGTCCCGCACATGGGAGGCCGCAGATGCACGTCTGCCTCGCGGCGGCAGTGGCCTTTGTTGCTAGGGGCACTGCCTCGACCTGTGAACCCTTGACCCTAGGGTCCCTGAGGCTGAGTCTGACCTTTACCCCTGCAGGGAACCTGGAATCCTGCACATCTCGCTGTAACGAGGAGTTCGACCGGGACGCCACCTGCCAGTGTGACCACCAGTGCCCCGAGCACGGTGACTGCTGTGAGGACTATGCAGAGCTGTGCACAGGTGAGGCTTGGGATGGGGACATCGGGGCCCGGGCTCTGGCCGCCACCTGACTCGGCTTCCTGGGAGGCCCTCGACTTAAGCTACCGTAGGTGCCACTTTCCTGGGAGGTCAGTCTCCACGACTGGGGCCAGCAGTGGCTCTGGAGTTTAAGTAACAAATGTTAAAAAAAGAGAACAGAGTAAGGGAAAACCATTTGAGGCTGCGTGGCATTACCAGTTGTTACAAAATATTATCGTGGCAGGGAGCTCTCACAGCCCGTCACCGGCCACCAGCAAGCCCCGTGCTGCCACCTGAGGTCACCACGCCTGCCACTGTTCCTCCAGCAAGTGCCCAGAGTGGCCGTCTCCACACTGTCATTTCCAGACAGTTTTGGTAAAAATGAGACATCCGCCACCCTCGAAGGCCAGTTGTCCCTCTACCCTTGTCTGGCAAAGCTTTCCATGAATGATTTTTAAGGAGCCGGGGAGATAGCTCAGGGGAATAAGCGCTTCCCTGGCAAGCGCAAGGGCCTGAGTTCAATTCCTGGTTTTTCAAAAAA